ATAAGGGTTCCAGTTTCCGCACATTTTCACAAACACTTGTTTTCTGTTTTGTTTTGTTTTTTTAAATAATAGCCATCCTAGTGCAGATAAAGTGGCATCTCATTGTAGTTTTGATTTGCATTTTTCTAATGACTAAGGAGAGGACAATGGTGGTTCAGTGGTAGAGTTCTCCCCTTCCATGCAGGAGACCAGGGTTCCATTCCCAGCCAATGCACCTCTTATGCAGCCAGTGGAGGCTTGCTTGTTGCTATGATGCTGAACTGATTTCAGTGGAGCTTCTAGACTAAGATAGACTAGGAAGAAAGGCCTGGCGATCTACTTCCGAAAATCAGCCCATGAAAACCCTATGGATCCCAAAGGTCAGATACGCACCTGATCGTGTGGATGGTGCGGGACCAGGCAGTGTTTCGTTCCATTGTGCGTGGGGTTGCCATGAGTCGGGGGTCGGCTGGATGGCAGCTGGCAGCAATGACTAATGATGTCCTTTGCCCATTTGTTTTTTTACTCTAGGATTCCATTTGTATAAAAACCGGTTGCCATCAAGTCGATTTCAACTCCTGTTGACCCTGTGTGTGTAAAGAGTAGAACTATGCTCCATTGTTGTCGTTGGGTTTTCTTTTTTTAATAATATTTTATTGGGTTTTCAGTGAAGGTTTACGCAGCAGTTTAGATTCTCATTCAACAATTTCTACACAAATTGTTCAGTGACGTTGGTTACGTTCTTCACAAGGCGTGAACATTCTCGTTATTTCTGTTCTGGTTGTTCTGTTTCCGTGAATCTGGTTTCCCTGCCCCCTTACATTCTCATCTTAGCTTTAGAGTAATTGTTGACCATTTGGAGCCCATTACTCACAGGTGATAGTCTTTCTTTTATGAACTAATCTGTTATTTAGCTAAAAGGTGACCTTAGAAGCTAGTTTTGGTTCAAGGTTTAAAGAGTATCTCAGGGCAATAATCTAAGGGAGTCCTCCAGTCTCAACCGGTCCAGTAAGTCTGGATTTTTTAAGAATTAGAGGCTCTGCTCCACATCCTTCTCCCATTCTACCAGGATCCATCGATTATGGCCTTGATCGGAACGGTCAGTAGTGGTAGCCACATTTGCCCATTTTTAAATTGTTTTTTTGTTGTTGTTGTTGAGTTGGGAATTGCTTTTTAAATTTAGTTTTGTTTGATGATTATGTAAGACATTTACCTGGCTTCAAAGTCAAAACTACGAACAAAGGCGTGGTCCAAGCAGTCTCGTGGTCCTGGCCCCACGCTGTCAGACGGTGTCCTGGGCACTCTCGGCCCTGCAGGCGCTTCTCTCACTTTGCAGGACGCTCTGCCTCCTGAGGGTGGCACACAGAGGTCCTTCTGGATCCTTCCTAGCTGGTATCCCAGCCTGTCTGTGCACAGCTGCGACGAAGCCAGCCAGCCAGCCCCCTGAGCAGTGGGAGGGTGTTTGCTAGCCTTCTGCTGTTATAGCCTTGGCTTTTTATGTATTTATTTATTTTCGTTTTTGAATGAGACCTATTGGATCCCACTTTTCTAGGTGTTTTAGAGTGGGAGCGAGTTCTGTTTCTTTAATTACATGAAGTCCTCCATGTGGCCAGAAATGAAAGATTCATTTTTCCCTTCATTAATTCAAAAAG